TTGTCGTCTACTGATTTAAAATCGGACCACTTGTTCAAGCGTTATTAGTAATTTTGGCTTATTTTGGTGCTCCTGCGTGGTGGTGACAAATTGAACTAGTATCGGTACATTTAGCATTAAGCGTTCTTTACACTTTTCGAAGGCTAAATCAAAAAATTAGGTGTGGTTTTTGAGACAAATTTGAGAATGTTTATGAGGCTTAATGTGATATGAAATGAATTGCGGATAAATGAATGTAAGAGTACTGAGCGAAATTGTTTGAGACAAAGTGGCTGTCATGGATGAGTAGGCAGAAGAAAATATGTGAAGACATTACAAGGAAAAGGACAGTGCCCAAAGAAACATGAAAATAAAACGAACATGGAAAATGATACTACAGGGAGCGCCAGAGAAAACTTACTTATTTCAAAAATTCCCGCGCGGAGTTGGGCGGTTAGAGGGGCGAGAGGGGGCGTAAATCTGGAGGGGGAAGTTCCCAGTTTTTTTTTCTCGCTTCCAGTAAGTTGCATTCAGCTGTGGGACTAGAAGAGCAGCGGCCTTCGCAGTCGAGAGGCTTCTTTTCTAACGTCGCTCACTTGATGTCTGCCGCAACGTGCCTTCCGCGCTCGCTTTGAAATTCCTCCTACAGACTCGTTCCTCGGCCGTAATTCGATTCTGTCGTGGGTTAACTCAATTTTCGGAGTGTGGAGTGTCGCTAAACCCCGAAATGGGCTTCAACGGACCATCAGAACCCCGAAAAATATCGAAAGAGTGAGGCAGTCAGTTGTGGGTTCTCCCCGACGTTCGGGCTGCAAAACACGCAGCTGCTATGGGAATTCTGGACACCACTTGTCGACGAATTCTGCATGAAAGACCTTCAATTTCATCTACAAAACTGGCTATTGTGCAGAATTAACTGAACGCGATTTGTGTTTGCCGTCAAATGCATGTGAATGCGATTGACAACCTGCTGAAGACGCGGTCGTTTTTTCAGTGACGAGCCTCACTTCCAAACATTCCCGGCTGCGTCAACAAGCGAAAACATGCGTTATTGGTGTGGTGTAAATCTCGCCTGAGCTTCTACCATAGAAGCCATTAATTGTGGCAGAGTTTACTCGTCTTGGTGTGGCGATGTCGGTAATGGGATAATTGTCCTTATTTTTTGAAGAAAACGAACGCGCAGTTACCGTGAATGGAGCTCGTTTCAGGAACATGATCGAGGAAATTTTTTTCTTCCAAGACCTCGAAGAAAAATGAACGTTAGAACGTGTGGTTTCAGCAAGATGGGCCACAGCACACACAGCACGAGATCACAATGAATTTGTTGCGACATTTCCCCAACGCGCTCCTCTCTCTCAGAGGCGTCTCATGCGCGGCACACTCTTCCGATTTGACTTCCATCATTTCTTTTTATGGGTTATTGAAATCGCCTGTTATGTCGATCGGACTCACGGACCATAGCACACCTCAAGAAAACAACCATCAGTGCGACGCCATTGCCAAACCTACGATTGATATGCTGCAAAAGAGTGGATACGAAATTTCAAAAATGGACTTCATCAGTTATGCGCAATGGAGGTCGCCATTTATCCCGATGTTCATTTTCAAGACTGCCATGAAAAAAAAAAAATTGGGATATTGTATTCTCAAATAAAAAAAATTAAAACAATAACTGAAGTACTTTTGTTTTTATTGACCTTTCAAATAAGTAAGTTTCTCTGGCGCACCCTGTATTTTTCCAAAACTCGCTCGTTTTATTTACATGTCTTTTTGCGAACTATAACCTTTTCTTTTTGTTGACTTGTTCACTTGCCAAGCGTAAGCAGTAGCGAGAAAGTAAAAATTGTAATGGGGAATTTCATTGAGAGAACAATTAATTAGATAGGCGGGGAGGGAAATAAGGCCTGCGTTATTTTACAAAATCCATTACATGACACATTTGACCAAATCATTTTGAATTTCTCCACCCAAAATTCGACTCTGGATCCGGTCCTGAATTAGACAAAACATTCCTTCTTATACTGTAAACAAAACATCGACTAAACTAATACAGAAACAAAATATTATGGATAGGACAATAGACGAAATCAATACATCATTTAAAAACTCTTCTGTGCAAGACGAAGGCAGTGATTGACGTGATGACGATAGAAACGACTGAAGATGAGTGACATTCTCCTCTACATCCTCCCACATTAGTTCGCAGAGCGGCCATGACGCTGCAAACCCCGCCCTAGGGGTAGTGGAGGATCATACACAATGAATGCCCGGCCGCTGAAGAGAGATACCTAGCTTGAACTATTTTTTAAAAAATTACATTAAACATTATTTTTATAATATAGTGAGTAGTAATTTGAGGGCGAGGGGAGAGAACGGAGAGAAAAGAATATGGGAAAATGGAAAAAGAGAAGAGATCTAAGATTTGAATATTGTATTTCTGGCCGCGCCAACGGCCGCGTAGAGGACTCACAACGGGCGGGTGACGCACCTGACAGGAAGAGGGAGTGGGGTAAGGTGGTTTTACACATTTCACTTTACGACGCTCCTATTCATCCGATTGACCCGCGTTTGATTCAGGGAGCCCGTAGTATAGCTTCGCGCTATAAGAGCACATTTTCTTATTCCATCCAGGAACTATGAGAGCCATTTGAAAAGGTTTTTTGGAATCCTTTTTGGCGTTTACAGGTCGAAAATCAGACCATTGGTTCAGACGTTATTGGTAAAGTAAATTTCCTTTTTTTTTTTTTTTTTTTTTTTTTTTTTTTTTTTTTTTTTTTTTTTTTTTTTTGGTGCTACCACGTGGAGGCGCCAAATTAAACTAGTAGCGATACATTTAGCTTTCAGTTCCCTATTGGTTTGCCAGGACCACAGTTTCTGTTCATATTAGACAGATTTCCGCGTTATACAATTTTCGCAAAGAGAAAGTCTTTACTGTCGTACGCCGACTCAGGTCCTTAGCTGATGTTACTCCAGGGCCTCTGTCCGGAAGGGCCTGGGGGTTCTACCAGACTACCTAGAGAGCCAGGTCGAAATCAGCTGCCAGAAGGAGAATTCTAGCGGTAGTATTCCGTGTTTCTCAGATTCACAGAAGGCGAATGCCGGAGCAGCACTAACAAACGGGGCGTGGTCCGCGTGCGATCCTTCGTTCCCCTTCCTTGTCCTATCCTCACACCTTGCTTACCAGGTTTACACTTTCATGCAGTGCACTACCACAAATCTCGGGAGATTATTCCGGCTAGGGCGATGCTCCCTGGAGGGATATACATGGTTGGGCAAATGTAGCTAACTAAACTAGAAGCAAGTCGGAGCCAGATCTCGCCTTGCGGTTGGAGATGACAGCTACCTACCGCAACAACAACATCAAAACATTTACACCTCCTAAAGGGGAGACTAAGGGCCGAATTCATAAGCGCGTCGTACACCGAGTGTTCCTTTAAATGGACGAATCGTATTCATAAACAGCCCTTGAGTGAAGTCTTAACTGAGCACTCATTCCTATAAGCAAGGCAGCCTGCTCCCTTAAGTGTCCCTTATGGCTCCCTCGCATCGTCAGTCGTAACCAGTTTAGGTTATATTTTTACGCGGCGTTCACCGACTATTTAATTCGTTTTGCTGGTGTTGGTATAGTGCAGGCAGTTAAAATCTATCATTTGTGAAACGTGTTATGGAAAATGACTTCAAAGATTATTTTGAGTTTTATACTCAACACATCCTGCGACATTCGGAGAGATATATTCCAAATACGAGCAACACATTGGAAATGTAGAGAAATGAACAATTCTGAAAGCGGTTTCGTTTCAATAAAACTACTGTAGTGGATACACTTGTGCCGATGATCGACAAAGACTCGATGACTAAAGAAGGATTGCCGATTTCCCCCTTATTAAAAGTTCTCGTTGCATTAAGATGATATGCAACTACATCCTTTCAGGAATGTTTCCAAAATTTTTAACTTCTATTCATTTCTGATTTATAAGACCTAATATAAGTAATTATGAATTTCGCAATATGAATAACAAGTGAAGTAATTTAAATTGTTGTAAAATGTAATTTATGTCAATGCTATAAGGGGTTGACATTTTCAATTACATGAAATGTTAATAATCCATTACCAATATTGGCAGACTTATGTTCATACCATGTTACCATACCACCACCTTGTGTTTATTAGTTATACTAGAGCATAAGTTAACGTTGGGGAATCAATTGAAACTGATGTTAAGTATTATATTACAATCCAATAATGCACATAAGTAATGTGTAGAAAATGCACGACATTGCAGAGAGTCATTAAAATTTTGATACGAGTTTCATGGATTATATTTTTAACCAAACATTTCTTATTATTAGAGATTTGTAATAAATATATTTTTAAAATATTAACATGATACCAGTGTCAAATAGTCATTGAAATTATGTGAGAATCATAGATTATATTGAAATTATATGAGAATCATAGATTATATTGTTACAAATCTGCTTGTTATTAGTGATTGGTAGTAATCACATTAATAAAATATACCAATATCAAAACATCTCGTTTCGCGTGTATGAAGACATGTTAGAGGTAGTAGACGTATTTCGTCGTGCACGCGACGTCAACTGTACCTTGGAGTGTCCGCCCCCTGTTAAATTGGACGCGCTTTGTACAAAATGAAGTGCGTATGTAAGCTCTGTTGCCAAGAACTTCCAGCTGCCGCCTATGCCATGTTGCCATATTTCCCTTCCGCTTAAGGGAACTCATTCCGAACATCACTCATTCCGCGGTCGTAAGGAACGCCTATGAAATACGAGCGCCTATAAGTGAACACGTATTTTGAGAAAGCACTTATCACTCAAGGGTTCGCTTATCCTATAAGTGACGACTATGAATTCGGCCCTAATTACCTTATCCGCTGTCGCGCCCGGAAGCATCAATCAATCGATTTATTACACATATTCATGGATGTTAAATAAGAGTGAGGAGCCATGAGTTAAGGACATTAAAAGTGAGAATATGGAGAATATATTGGACTACTTACGATTGCTTGCGGCGCAACATCTCTTGCAGCTGTTCTCGAGGGCGTTGAGCCAATGAACGGCGCAAAGCTGCGAACTGTGCACTGCCTGCTTGAAGCAACGATGCGATGTCCACAAGCTGAAGATCAATCTGGTCAAGAGTGTGGCGTCGCTCAGCAAGGGCACGAGCACGAGTCCGCAACTCTGTTTCTAATGCTGCCAGCTCCTGCCGCTGAAGGACAAATTATGTATCTCTTTCAACATCATTAAAATTACAAATAACTTCAGCGATAACGATATTTTATTACAATCGAATTTCAATCTACTATAATAAAATATGACATTACAATACAGAAAATTACTCCAAATCTAAGGAACACATATTTAACTCGCCTGAAACAGAAAAAAGGAAAGAAAAGGGGAATAATGACAAGAAAAGGGAAGGAGAGGAGAACATAAAGTGAACGAGAGGACAGAACTGGAGGATAAGGAGAAACAATACGAGAAAGTGGAATACGAGGGCAGGGAGAGGATTATATTATTTTGTTTCCGGGTGGGGGCGCTAAATGTCAAATTTCCGAGCGCGTCAAACTACAAGTCTTCTTCGGTCAGAAACACTCCAACCAGTTGTTCCTCTGGGCCACCTCAATCGGTAGACGAAGAGGGGAAGGAGGAGAGGGACAGGAGTAACAAAGAGAAAAGGACGGGGAAAGAACAGTCAGCGAAATGAGAACAGGAGAAAAGGAGAGAACAAGAGGAGCAGACGAGAAAAGGAGAGAACGAGAGGAGCAGACGAGAAAAGGAGAGAACGAGAGGAGCAGACGAGAAAATGAGAGGAGCAGACGAGAAAATGAGAGGAGCAGACGAGAAAATGAGAGGAGCAGACGAGAAAATGGGAGAATAGGTGAGAAAGTGGAGGAGATGATTAAATGGGAGAAGTAGATAACAGGAAGGGAGGAGATGATGAAATGGGAGTAAACGAGAGGAAGGGAGGAGTGGATGAGAGAAGAAAAGGAGCATCTAAGAATAAGATGTGTGAACAGGATGAAAAAGGGAGTGGCGAAGTAAGAAAGGTAAGGATGGAACAGAAGTCGATAGGAAATAGATTAGCGAAATCAGTTCCAAATAACTGTACCTTGGCGTTTTGCAATATTTGCAATGTTTGCAGTCTCCTCAAACATCGTCAAATCATCAATCATATTACTAAATTTAAATGTGGGCAAAAACTGAAATGAAATTATGAAGCCTCTGGCCATGTGAGAGGTGTCTAGGATTTTCTTTGTTACCCAGGAACTTGGGAAAAATCCAAAAACAATTAAATAGTGGTGATTTTGATAGAAAAATTTGAATTTGATATTCCGCCTATTCTCATATTTGGCGCCGAGTAAATTCTCATTCTGTGCGACACTGGTACCACCCAGCTAACGCAGCACAGCTCTAAGAAAGAGACCAACCTCCATTTAATATTTGCTAATCACGTGTTACGTAATGGAACAGCAACATTTTGAATATTCTTCTTTGGTAAAGAACAGTTATACTGTGTAAGAACTTTACTGTGTTACTGTATTAATTGTTGTTCTTGTTGGGGGGAGTGTACGAGCTACGTTTCGCAAAACCATTTTGTGTGGTTTCTTCAGCAGAATTTTTCCAGCTACAGGCCAATACTATATGATGCTATTTCGTACAAATTACATAACAGAAAATTGTATTGCTTTTGAAGAATGGTTTCTTAATGTTAGACAGTGGAAATTTCAAAATAAGTTTCAAGTACTTTAAACTATATACGTACAAACAAAAATTAATAATACAAGCACCTAAACTTACATGTGAACTAGCCAATTCCCTCATTGCTTCAACTCCGGCTCCACTGGGTTCCAAACTTGCCCAGGATTCAGGACTGGATTCATAAGCTGGCTGTTGTTCAGAAATACAGGAATCTTGGACAGTTGAATTTGCTAGGTCATCTGCATTACTTAGCAAACTCTCCAAACTCTCTTGACAAGCAATGCTTTCATGATCTTCGTTAGCATTGGTGATCCTTTCTGTACTATCTGACACCTGAACACATCAAACAAATGTCATAGCATTTATGACGTTTTTCAATTTAGTCATTTAGATTTTCCCAGTGGCAGATTACATTTGGAGGAGAGTGAACCACTAGGTCAGGTGAAAATTCTGTTTTGGTATTGAGAATTCGTGAACATTTCGAATCCTTATAGTTGTTGATTTTCTCAAGTGTTTGGGACAAAATAGTGAGAATTTGCAGTTCAACTCATGGATACTTTGTAATGCTACATATCATCGTTTCAGATTTTTTTAAAACTGGATTAATCATTTGTAATTATCCTGCATTTAAAGAGTTGATTAATAATTATTGCATTTTAACTGTGTAATGCACGGTTCGAGAATTTTCATTTCTTTGCATTTTTTCATTGATTCCTTTGAAAAACTGAAAGTCTACAAAACTGAGCAATTCCTCAGTTTACTATTGTGCAGCAATTATCAAATGCATTCGTGAACAGGATTTTTTGAACTCACGATAATAGTAATAGTTAGGGGAGAAGACCCAAAGGTACTCTATTAGAGCCTATGTCTTGTGTCACTCAGTGAATTCAGAATAACAGAATTCAACATTATTGGGTATGGAAACATAATACCTACATATCTTCACTATTAAACTTTATAGGCATTTTGAATGAATGTGTGGTTGAGAAATACGTTAATCAGTGTCAAGGGAATTTAAATATCATTTGTGCCTGGGTAGTAGACAATTTCGCGATTTACAACTTTATAAACAACCTAACTTCCATACCCTCATCTCACATTTCCTGACTTTCAATCTGCATTTCCCCTAAATTAAGTTAAAGAATCTACTCGTCCCGCAGTCCCTTTCCCAAATTCTCCGATATCGTTTCGTTCACCCTTAACACATGCTCCGTGCCATCGCTCGCCTTCTTGTTCGCTCTTCCCCCGCCCGCTCACTCCCCCTCACTCGCCATAACCCCCGCTCCACCCAGTGACTCGCCCTCACCATCCGCACCACTTCCGCGTTCTCTCAGCTTCCGGCCCACCTCATCCGCCCTCCCCTACGCCGTCCCCACAGGCGGGATTACGGATCTTTTATTGGGAGGGCAAAGGGTCGCCCCGCATAAAATGGTAAAAAGCTCCCCTAAACCAAATGGCATATGAGTAATTACACTATAATTCTAAAATAAACAAAATATTTTTGAAAGATTTCTTAGCCTTCGCCCCCACCAACCACACACCTCTCAGTGGCAAATTCAAACGCAACGTTGTTTTTAAAATAAATAAAATTACCGTCTTAGAACCCCGGAACAGGCTTAATATCTCAAAAGTACTTAAAACACGAAACGTTGAGAATTTGTTTCATGTTTTTTCGATTACTGAGCTGTAGTTAAACAATAAAAATTATTTTAACATTTTAATCGCAGATTACAAAGGTGTCGTCTATCAGAATACGCAACTAGTTAAATCATTTAGCAATCAAAATTGGATGACGGCTATCATAACGAAGGCCGCATGACGGGGTACCACTGCGGAAACTTCTCCAAGCACCAAGCAAGTTTGGGCTGTGAGAGTAAAGTTATTTTTGTGTATATATTGTGGCGGCATATATCCTAACAGATCTACAATTGAAGCATTTTAATGTGAAATTCGATTATACGTGAGGAAATACTGCATAAAATTTGTGTGAAAATTACTAAGACGCACGTGGGCCTTTCCCCCGCCCCGTCTCTGGTATTTATGACCGCTAGCCCCCCTGGGCCCGTCGAAGGGGAGGCCCCGCCACCGAGTCGTGTTTGTTTACACCACCCGCGCCCTCCGCCATCCTGGCCCTATCCACCCTCCTCCCCGGCACGTCGTTTCCAGAACAGGTCTGATCTTGCAAGAAGGGAAATGCCCGAAGATGATGGATTGTGTTTATTGCGATGAAGGAGTTAGTGCCGAGGAGAGACACACCCAGTTTCAACTTTTAGTAAGAGTCAGAAAAGGAAAGTTCCAGAAAATCTCCACCAGCGATTGGTGGGAAGTTAAAAGAGACGCAATACTCTTTATCCCACCAGGCAGCGAATGTGAGCCTAGAGGATCGAAGGGGGAAGGAAGTTTCAAGCGCGTGCCGCGAGGAGAAGCGATCGGGAGGAGATAGGATGCAGATCGGAGGGTGGACGCACGTAAGCGAGCAGTGAATCCGTTCGCCTGTTGAGACGTGGACATTTTTGTAGTATAGCGTCCAGTACTCTTGTAAAATTTCATCCCTCAGTTCAGTTTGAACTTAGTCAAATTTGATGTGACGAATTTGTTTCAATCCACATAATTTGTTTCCGTGGGGCGCGAATCTGACGCGTAAGTTGTATTCTCCCGTCTCATTAAAAAAATAACTATTTAACTAAAATTAACGACGGCGCCGTAAAGTTTGAGTTATGAAACTATTCTCGAGTTCCGTGAATCTGAGCAAGCCGCATGAATCAAAGACTTTGCCACGGTGCACTACACGACGAGAGAAGTCACAGAGTGACGTAAATTGGGCAAGGTCGGGGTGGTGCGGGCCGGGGGCCCTCTGTCCTTTCACCGCAGGTGGGAGCCCGCCGCGGCGCAGACGGCGTCTGTCGTCGCCCTATCGACCGCCGCTTCCCTGCGCGGAAGCCAGCCCAGCAGTTTTGGTCGGTAGCCTCCACGAGCCAGCAGACGCAACGAGCGGTGAAAGTCCTTCGTTTTAAAGGAAAGCCCACGCTTTGGGCCTAAAGTATGCTATTCAAGCAAATACCACAGAACCGTTGTTGTTTTGGGTTGAATTAGCGCGGCCGCGCATTGGCCTGGTTACCAAAATTGGTAAATATAGTTTGTAATTAGCATTAAGGATAAATGTAAAACTAATTTTAATTTTTCTGAACACTAGCTCATTTCTTTTGAAAATGGGGAGGTGTTTCTTGTAATTTTCTTTTAAAGCACAAATTAAATGCCATTTGTCGATCCATTATTTTCACTGTTGTTTTTTTCTATGAACTGCAATAACGCTCACCCTTCCTCCAACCAAAAAATGTATCCAGCAAAACCACCTGAACTAGCCGAGGAAATACACAAATATTACACTATAAAACCTTTAAAATGTATTTTGTAACTCCATATCATACATGCTAAATCCATTAAATTTGGCGTTTAATTGTAAAAATGAGTTTTTCTTTACTTTTACCCAAAATAGTCACGCCATTGTAATAACACTTGGTACAGGACGCCTTTGTAATCTAGGTTTAAATCACATAGCCTTCGAAAATAGCTGCGACAGTTCAGTGCATTTACTTGAGTACTAATTATACAGTTGTAATGAAAATTGTTCTGTTGTCAAAACACTTTTTGATAATGGTACTGACATGATTAAAACAGCAGATTCCCATTTATAATGATAAAAAATTAAATTATTCTAAAAATATTGGATATAACAGAAAATATTCCGTTAAGATAAGTTTCTCTTTCTTCTCAGAGTACCCTTGGCATCAAATTAATATCATAAATTAGTTACAATATATATTACATTATTAAGGAAAAACATACTAACAAAATATAATATAATTAGAGTTTTACTCAACATTCGCATATATTAAAAATTAAATTGTAAACGCGCAGTTTTTAGTCTCTAACACACTGAATGTTCACGCTAAAACTGCATCACAGACATGTGTCACTCGGTGACTTTTTTGAATACCTACGTTTCGCAGCGTTGACAAATTTCTTCTTTTGAAGATCCGTAAAAAAAATCATTTTATTTGGAAAACTGCTAATATTTCCGTTTGCCAACTACGCTTCCACAGATTACAAGTAATGCTGGAAAACATGATTTTTATAGCATCGCGGACCCACGAAACGTTTCGTGAGAAGCACCTATTTTCCGGCATTCGAAATATTAAAAACGCTAGGAAATTTGTAAAGGAAAGAATTTATTGAATCGTAATATACGTATGTCCCTTGCAATTCTACATAATATGTTCCATTATAATACAACATAAATCAAAATGCACTAGCCTACAATACTACGTGAATATAAAAAAACAACAAAATTTAAAATCGTAGAAAGAGTGGCCCAAGTACTTCGACAACTGCCAACAATCACAATCCAGGCGCACGATTTATTTGTAGGCGGTATCTTGGAAGTCTGTACCTAAAGACCCAACTGGACTCTTTTATTGTAAATAATACACCGTTTGATATTAAACTTCAGGTGTCGTTTCGCTAAGATATTCAATACCTTCAATACCTAAGTAATTCATAACCTTAAACATCGTTTGGTAATATTCTCATGTACCAAAGTGAAGTCTAGGCGTACAGAATTGTTTCTAATGGTAACAAATTCTATTTTTAATTACATGAAGGTGAAAATATTAGTTTTACTATTTTTGACTCGGAACTGCATTTTTGAGGTACGTAAGAATGCAGATAAAATCCAATATTTTTTTAGTATACAAATAATCTTTCAATTTTCGCACCCAAGAAAGCTGGCGCCCTGCCCCTTCAAAACCCTATTTATTCCTCACAACACATTCATAAAAGTTAAATAATATTGCAGAGTAGGGTTGTCCTTGCCCGATCCTGTATTTGCGCATGGAAAACATTGCTTGTTCTTTCTCAAGAATAAAAACCTTTTCTAATATTTTTGTGGCTATTATGGAAATCAAAAAAGCTAACTGTCAAGGAAGCCTTCAAATGATTTTAAGGAAATGTTAATTGTTCATAGAACATATCTCTACAGTACTGAATAAACCTTCACAGAAAATTTGTTTTTAACGTCAATTGCATAGTTTTTATTTTTGTTTGATATTGTGTAAGTACGAACTTAGTTTTATACATTTTTAACAAATAAACACATTTCATTAACAACTTTCCTTCTTAATGGAAAGGATACGCAAAGGGTGGGGATTAACATTAAGAGTGTTTGCACGGGAATGATAGTTATGGTCATATTTGCCAGTAATTTAGGTACTTTTGTTGTATTATTATCTTTTTAATGCCATTTTCACATACTTGATTGAAGTCGTCTCAAAGAG